TGCTCCTAGCACAAAATCAAGACATAAGGATATTAATAATAAAATATTATGTGAAAAAATGCATGTACAGACTACGAGGCAGCAATCAGCATCTTACTATTTGTTAAGGCAAAACTGCAAGTCTTCTGGAAAAGCTTTATTCCAAACTATTACATAATATACTTAAAGTATTGTTTTATATTAATAAAAAGCTTTTAAAATCCTTTTGTGCCCTTCAAATTCTCCTAAAGTGCTCTGAATTAAGCCCACATTTATGCTGGAGTCAAGGTTTGTATTAATCCAGCAAGTGTTTTGTTCAATGTTTTGAGTTGCCAACTACTCCAAGCAATACTAACAAAGCTAATAAAAAACCACAACTTGTAGTGGTACATTTCTCTCTATATCATGTAAACATATCAACCTTATAAAAACTAATCTGATACATGAGTGAAGCAAGATAAATATATTTATTTTATAAAATATAAGAGTTAGGAAATAATTTTCAAAATATATTTATTGGCCATGTATATTGTATTTGAAGCAAGCAACACTAAGAAAGTTAAACCTTTCTCAAACTGTCTTTTGGCTATTGACAAGAATTCAGTTGTCACTTTCAAATAAGACCTGCTAACACAATAATTATACAACAAATACACCATCAGAAAACACAACACTAGATTCAGGGAAACTGTCTACTATGTAAATGATGAGGGTTTAAAGGGTCTCTTACCTCGGGTTTGGAGTGCTTCCTGCTGGATAGGGAGATATGCCACCTGGAATGCCCGGCACATAGGAAGCTAAATAAAATAATGATTTTGTATATTTTTACTTTTAAGAAGTTTAATATGTATTAAGATCACACTAGTGAGATGTGCTGATGCTGCAGTTAGATGCTTTTCAAAATATTATTGAACAGTGAAACCGTATAATGCAATGAAATAAGAGTAAGAGAAGTCATTCTATGGCCAGAACCCCTCAGTAATGTGTACCCTGCATCCTCTAATGCCACCACTTCTCACAGCACTCCCAGATGTTTCCCATACTCTTGTGCAGCTTGGCAAGAGGATTCTATGCAGATGTTTGTTGTGAGCCATCCCCATCCAGGATCGTTGGCTGGGAATGGGCTGAACTTTGGTCATCTGTTGGTAAGCAGTTTCACTGTATCACTCATTTGTATATTTTGGTATATTACTATTATTTTCAATTTTTGTTGTAGTTTAGTTACTAAATTGTCCTTATCTCAACCCATGAGTCTCTTTTCCCTTTACCTCTTTAATTCTCTTCCCCATCCCGGGGAGTGAGGAGGGTAAGCAAGTGGTGGTTGTTGTGGTGTTTTGCTGCCAGCCAGGGTCAAAACTACAACACCACTGAAATTACTTCAGCCATGCTACCGCCCAGCAACTAGAAGAATAGTCAAGTTGTGTTTCAAACTGATGATCCTTCCCTGGAGCACAATACAGGTCACAGTCTCTACTAAAACTATACTTGTGCTGACACCTGCTGCTCTTGGAAAATCAGAACAGTAGAAGTATCCAGTGCTCTTACAGGTAGGCTACCTAAAAAGCTAAAAAGTCCCAAACACCTTTAGCCAACTATCTCTAATGGTCCCATTTATGTTTGCTACCCCTTTTCTCACGTGGTAAGAACTTAACACCTTGTTAGAAAGTTTCTGCTGGAAACTTCCACTTCTGGTGGAAGCAAGGACAGGTAGCCTGGGG